TAAAGATAAATAACATTTGTCTTGTTGGAGGTTTGCAGGAACACCACGCTGACCTGATCGACCTGGCCTACGTGGACAGCTGCAAGAACAAAGGATTCCAACACCAAGAAGTTTGCAACAACCAACCACATTCTCCTCCCCTTTTTAGTATAAAAGGAGCCTGAATTCTGACCTGGGGAAGACGGTTCTCCAGGATGTTAGTCTGCCATCTTCTTGGTCTGCTGGCTTTCTGAATAAAGTCTCTATTCCTTGCCTCAACACCTTGTCTCCTGATTTATTGGCCTGCAGTGTGGCGAGCAAAACAAGTTTGGACTCGGTAACAGTAATATTCAAAACAAACATATACTTGTGAAAAAAACTGGATCTAGATCTAGATATGACATTTTGGGAAAGACCCACCCAGACATTGTGTCTGGCTTTATTCCACTGAGGCACAGCTCTGGGAATTGGGGTTGGTAGGTGACTCAGTGTGCATTGTACTCTTTGGTACTGTTTACTGTGTGCATTTTAAATTTTAATAAATTTCAAAAAAAAAAAACCCAGAGAAAACGCACCCAGCAGTGGGTGTGCAAGGACGGCTGCTATAAGGGCCAGAAGAGGGAAGATGGGGCAACAGTGCACTCCCACCCCGACCCATTTTCGGAACTGGGTGGGTGGCAGACACAGGCAGGTTTTGTTGGGCCTAAAGCCTATACAATGTTGGAGATCCTGTTTAAGAACTAAAATACACAATTAGGAACACAGAGCTGTGGCCACCCTGAAGCCTCCTAACAGGAAGGGAAACGTGATGAAGAGGAAGTGGGGGCGGAATGAGATAGCAGGCTTCACGGAATCAGGGTGAACTGTCCAACTTTTGCAAATTTGATAAAACCACTTGACCGTGTGAACAGGTTGTTAGGGCTGCTCCCAGGCGGTGGAGGGGGCGGGTCCTTTCAGGTACCCATGATGAGGGGCTCAGGGGGATTTCATTCCTGAACCAGATTTGTGGCCAAAGGTCCCATCTGAGCCCAAGTCCCAGAACGCAGACAGCTCTAGTCCACACAGGCTCTGCCTGTTTCCAGAAATGATCACTTTTTGCTGAGCTGCAATTGCTCCTAATCTCCAGACCGAACCTTCTGGAGCGTTGCTAAGCAGGGGTTTAGGTAAGCCTGGCATATTTCTCCCATCGCTACAGGACAACCAGGCGGGGTTTAGGGTGACTGGGCCCCTGTTTCCATCACCTCTTTACTCCCTAGAAGCTTCATCTATTTGCCCCAGAGAGTGGAAAAAATATCATTTGTGCTGAATGAAGAAATAATTTTCTGTGTGTCCTGATGTTAAAAAGGTTGTGAAGCAATTTATCAGATGGTGGCTTTCCCTTTTTTTTTTTAAACTTGACCCACAGTAAGAAGTACATTTTTATATCCAGACCCAATACACACAGACATATATTTATTATAAGTGGAACTGAAAGAGTAAAAGCCTGTTTGGGACTGAAAGAGTAAAAATCAGCCCAGACTGAAATAGGAACAAAACAAAACAAAACAAAATGGCCCTGCAGTCAATCAGGCTGGGAGGAGAGACTCAGACAAAACCTGCAGCAGAGCCAGCAGGAAACCTGGTTTCTCCCAGAGTTATGCAGTTTCTTTTTTTTTTTTTAAGTTTATTATGATTTTAATTTTATTTTTTTAATGGAAGTCCTGGGAATTGAACCCAGGACCTCGTACTTGCTCATATATGTTAAGCATGCGCTCTACCACTGAGCTATACCCACCCCCCTTTTTTTCATGCAGCAGTTCTAAGTTGGCACAATTCCCCTCTCTGTCAGCAATGCTGCTTTCTTACCAATGATACCCCTAGACAAGCTTTGCAATTCCCATCTATTGCTGGGCATGCCCCAGTCCCCAACCGCTCACCTGGTGACAGCCCCCAGGCCCCAGTTAATCCCCACTGTTTCTAATTTCTGCTCAGAAACAGCACCCACTCCAGAACTAGTCCTTGCTTCCCACAGACTCCCCTC